GATTATGTGTATCAACGACAATTTTGTACTCTGGTTTGTTAGCAAATGCCATTGCCCAACACTGCAGCATTTCCAACACCTTGGTTTTCACCTGAATACAAACGCAGTGCTCTCAAATATCACATGTTGTAAATCGATTTTTGCATGGATTGCTACAAGCAACATCTAATCCGTCAGATAAAAGTAAACCAGTCATCTCTCAAGTATGGTGGATAACTTTTCATAGCTTGGCAACTATACATCATTACAAATCACTATGAAAAAAAAGGGTAGGTCATAAAAGGAAGAAAAGCGGACATACATCTTCATACTGGCTTCCTATTCCCAGATTTTTGAACTCCTCCATGAATTCTCTAGTAGCAACTTCAGCATGTATCTAAATAGGATTTTTTTCGCAAACTAAATTAAAGAGTTCACAAGGAGGACACCTTGTGACCACAATTCTTCACGCATGCGTCGAGCACAAGAAGAGCATGCATTGCAACATGGGGATTATCATGTTGGATTCTCTTCCGTATTGACTGCATAGCAGCTTTAGCGCTGAAATATTTGCAAATCAAAAAAATTTCATCATACCCAGAGTGTTCACCAAATGTTCTCTTTTATAGCCATAACACAGACTTTGTAATTTTACACAATTAATGAACTTCAACATATATGTAAGTTACATGTTTTTGGCCTGATCCGTTTCGAAACATGCTATATTTTTTCAAGTCTCACATCCTTTCAAAACTCACGGCACTTCCCCTGAACGTATGGAGTCAAAACATGCGATTATTCCATCCCAGTTGGGTTCCAAATTTGTGCTGTCAGTGGCTGCCTCTATATGGAAATGGATAAGAAACTGAGGAAAAGGCACAAAAAAAGCCGAAAAGAAAATCTTATGACAGGACACACCCAAAAGCTTGTCGAACTTCTTTGACATTGTAGAAAAGACGTATCTGCAATAATGGTCACCGTCAAACAGAAGTCCGTTCAAATACACGCTGAGTCCAAGAAAGCAACTCAAACCGACCGAACAATTCCCAAACCTCTAAGATATGCTTCAACAATAATGGAAAATTTGTCAGACATGACAGTTAGATAAAGCAGAGCTCAACATGACGATTACGGCTTATGAATGTAGTTTTAAATAAGTGAAAAATGAATTGTCAGACAACAAAGGTTAACGAAAGAGCAATGATGATTTTGTCATCAGCTGATAGACACGCAACAAACTAAACAGCCCGTCGCTTAGCGTTTTTCTATGCGCCTTGCTCTAAACCGCCCACGAAGCCATGCGTCGTTGTTCCGTGGATTAAATCGATTCATGATTTAGTTCGGAGATTCACATGTAGCCGTCGTCTATCCTGAGATGAATAATCCAGTTTAACTGCTTTGTTTTCGTTATGGGCTCGCTTTAGAGCTACATTCTAACTTCTTCCCCATTTTTCTTTTTGTACACGCCTT